AAATAGGTTTTTGTTTTCTATAGCAACAGGGATTATTTAAAAGGTAAAAGTCCTTTCCCCATGCTCATTATAGTTACATGTACTTATTTTAAAAGATAAGAGTATTCCAGAAGTATGAAACTTAAAAGTCAGGGGTGCCTGGGTGGCTTAGTCAGTTAAGCATCTGACTCTTGGCTTTGGCTCAGGCCATGATCTCATGGTTTGCGAGTTTGAGCCCCACATCTGGCTCCATGGTGACAGTGGGGAGTCCACTTGGGATTCTCTTTGTCTGCCCCTATCCCCGCTCATGCTCGCATTCTCTAAGTAAGTAAATAAACTTAAAAAAAAAGAAAAGTGAAAGATGCATTCCCTAAATATTTATTGAATGCCTACTATGTGATAAGATACTGGTAGGTGCCAAAACACAATTGCTCTTAATAGTTTGGTAGAGGTGCCTGGGTGCTTGGTTGAGTGTCTAACTCTTGATTTCGGCTGAGGTCATGATCCAGCGTTGTGGGATTGAGCCCGGTGTTGGGCTCTGTGCTGAGTATGAAGCCTGTTAAAGATTCTCTCTCTTTCTCCTCCTCTGTCCCTTTCCCTCACTAGCACACACTCTCTCTAAAAAAAAAAAAAAAAAAAATTTGGTGTATAATCTTAACAGATGTTGAAAAAAAATTTTTTTAATGTTTATTTATTTTTGAGAGGTAGAGATCGAGTACAGGCGGAGGAGGGACAGAGAGAGAGGGAGGCATAGAATCCCAAGCAGGTTCCAGGCTCTGAGCTGTCAGCACAGAGCCTGACCGCAGGGCTTGAACCCACGAACTGTGAGATCATGACCTGAGCTGAAATCAGATGCTTATCTGACTGAGCCATCCAGGCGCCCCATCTTACAGCTATTTTTAAAGGTCTTTGTAATCGTATAAGTAATACTACTTACAGAAATAAAACCATACTTAAAAATTACTACTTTGTTTCTTGCTTTTCATCACAAAGTAATGTATTTTAGATGGTTTTCATATTAGCATAAAAGATTTAGTCAATTCTTTTAAACTATTGGATAGTATTTTTTGAAAGGATGTACCATAATTTAACAAACTTCTATTAAATAATACGTGATAGTTTTCAATTATTATTACAAGCAGTGATACAATGAAATCTTTTACATATATCTCTTTGGCATATGTGTTCCTGGAAGAATAAATTTTTAAAAGTGTAGTTGCTGGGGCGCCTGGGTGGCGCAGTCGGTTGAGCGTCCGACTTCAGCCAGGTCACGATCTCGCGGTCCGTGAGTTCGAGCCCCGCGTCAGGTTCTGGGCTGACAGCTCAGAGCCTGGAGCCTGTTTCCGATTCTGTGTCTCCCTCTCTCTCTGCCCCTCCCCCGTTCATGCTCTGTCTCTCTCTGTCCCAAAAATAAATAAACGTTGAAAAAAAAAATTAAAAAAAAAAAAAGTGTAGTTGCTAAATCAAATGGTATATTAATTTAGAATCTTAATACATTTTAAAAGATGACTCTTATTTAAACATCAGCTTTCTTGCTTGTTCCCCCATATTTTTATCAACAGTAGGTATTATTCCTTATTTTATCTGTTTTTTTTTTCTGTTTCATTGTTTTAATTTGAATAAAAAAATAATTGAGATAGGGCTTTTTTTCAGTGTTTTCATTGGCCAGTTATATTTTATACAACTGTACTGTGTTTATGTCCTTGGACCAATTTTCTGTTGGATTTTTTAGTTTATTGAGTATTAAGACCATTTGTCATATGTTCAAAAAATTTTTCTTAATGTTTATTTATTTTTGAGAGACAGAGAGGGAGACAGGGAGGGAAGGAGAGAGGGAGAGAAAGAGTGTGCTTTCAAGCAGGGGAGGGGTAGAGGGAGAGGGGAACAGAGGATCTAAAGCAGGCTCCAGGGTCTGGGCTGACAGCAGAGAGTCTGATGTGGGCTCAAACCATAAGCCATGAGATCATGACCTGAGCTGAAGTCAGATGCTTAACTGACTGAGCCACCCAGGTGCCCTGGAAATTTTATTTTAATGTACTCTATACCTTACTTCATATAAGGTTTTAATTTATAGGTAGTCAGATTTCTTAATCTTTCTTATGGCATCTCAATTTTGTTTTATTCCTTTACCAACAAGAATAAGAAGAATCTGAGATTTTCTGTGTCAGTAGTAATGAATTGAGTCCTATTTTCTTTTTCCCTTTCATTATGTTCTTAGATTTTAGTCTCCAATTTAGCATGTACAACTTCATCAAATACTTTGGAGCCTTGTTGTATTATTATTTACTGTGGAGCAAAATAGAGTATAAGGTGGGACCATCCTGGACCCTGCTTAATTGAAATCCAGTTTATAAGTACTCATATTATACTTGGTACCAATTTATAGGAAGAGTGATCAGCAGTCCCTGTTTGCCTGAGATAAGTTTTGCCTTTTTTCCAGTGTAACTTTTTAAAAAAATTTTCTTTTAATGTTTATTTAGTTTTGAGAGAGAGAGAGGGGAGAGCATGAGTGTAGGGTAGGGAGTGAGGGGTGGGGGAGACACAGTGTGAAGCAGGCTCCAGGCTCTGAACTATCAGCACAGAGCCCCATACGGGGCTCAAACTCACGAATCGTGAGATCATGACCTGGACCAAAGTTGGATGCTCAACTGACTGAGTCACCCAGGTGCCCCTCCAGTGTAACTTTTAATAGTGACCCTCTTTACTACCTCAGTTTAGATGAAAAATTTTAAGGATTATAAGGGATAGTTGTTTACCTGGGATAGTTCTTTAGGACATTTTAATATTAAGGCTTCATTTGTTGCTGTTTACATTATTCCTGCAATACTTCATTTGTTTTAGCTTTTTAAAAATCTCTCATTTCTGTTATTTTCATGAACTTGTTGGAAAGTTCACAGAATTGCTTATGTGAGGTATTTACCTTCTTTACCATTCCAATATCCAGACTAATGTTCACATTTTGAATAAAGTGTTCTAAAGAAGTTCAAGTATTTGTCTACATGTGTGCATATGTTTTGGTTATATTTTACTAAACATGTGATAAAATCTTTTTGTGTAAGTATGACCAAATCTTTTAACTAGGCCAAATATACCTACCTTTATTTTATTGTTTTTTGGTGTTAATTATATCCACTGATATGAATTAGTTTATACTTCGATCATTGGCTTTGTGGTATGCTGAGTAATACTGTTCTGAACACAGATCCCTGTGGGACTCACTTAATGCCAACTTCTGTTGTACTGTTAACAACATTGATAAAACACTGGTCCTTGCAAAGAGCCAGACAGATTTTTATCCAACTTATTTTATCATTCAGATAATACTTTTCCAGATTTTTCGTATATAGCTCTGTGTCAAAGTCCTTACTCTAATGAGATAAATTGTGCCCATTACATTTCCTTTCTCTGCCAGCTCTGTTACCGCTTAAAAGATTTATTGGGGCGCCTGGGTCGCTCAGTCAGTTAAGCGTCTGACGTCAGCTCAGGTCACGATCTCACGGTCCGTGAGTTCGAGCCCCGCGTCGGGCTCTGGGCTGATGGCTCAGAGCCTGGAGCCTGCTTCCGATTCTGTGTCTCCCTCTCTCTCTGCCCCTCCCCCGTTCATGCTCTGTCTCTCTCTGTCTCAAAAATAAACGTTTAAAAAAAATTTAAAAAAGATGTATAGAGCTTACAGTTATTCATTTCATCACTGATTGTAGGCTGTAACTCAACCCATCTTACTTTTTCTAAAGCTATTACTTTACATATTGGGATATTTTATAAAATTGCCATTTTAAAAGGCCAAACATTTTAGTATTTCCTTTAGTCAGAAGTATTTGTACTTATGAGGGAGCCTGGGTGGCTCAGTCAGTTGAGCATCTGACTCTTGATTTCAGCTCAGGTGGTGATCCCAGGGTTGTGGGATCAGGCCCCGTGTGGGATTCTGTCTCTCTCGCCCCCTCTGCCCCCGTCCCCTGCTCACGGTCTGTCTTTGTCTCTCTCTCTCTCTCTCAAAAACAAAAAATTTGTACTTATGAATATACCCTTAAAACCTTAAAGTTTTAGGGGCGCCTGGGTGGTGCAGTCAGTTAAGCGTCCGACTTCAGCCAGGTCACGATCTCGCGGTCCGTGGGTTCGAGCCCCGCGTCGGGCTCTGGGCTGATGGCTCAGAGCCTGGAGCCTGTTTCTGATTCTGTGTCTCCCTCTCTCTCTGCCCCTCCCCCGTTCATGCTCTGTCTCTCTCTGTCCCAAAAATAAATAAAAAACGTTGAAAAAAAAATTAAAACCTTAAAGTTTCAAATATTTCTAGTTGTGTGTTATCATAATATATATATTTCTCAGTGTTATATATTGATAATTCTCAGTATTACATATCGATATATATACCTGAATCTTCATTTCAGTGTTTGTTTGTATTAATAATAAAAGATTAATATTTGAGAATATTAGTCTCGTGAGTAGTGAGTATATCACGTAGGAATTTCTGATTGTGTTACCATTAACTTTATAATTTTACTCTCTTGGGGCGCCTGGGTGGCTCAGTTGGTTAAGTGTCCGACTTCGGCTCAGGTCATGGTCTCATGGTTCGTGAGTTCGAGCTGCACACCAGGCTCTGTGCTGACAGCTCAGAGCCTGGAGCCTGCTTGGGATTCTGTGTCTGCCTCTCTCTTTGCCCCTACCCCACTCATGTTCTGTCTGTCTGTCTCTCTCTCTGTCTCTCTCTCAAAAATAAACATTAAAAAATTTATACAATTTTACCCTCTTTGGATAAAGTTATTTATATATAGGTATTTTCAATTTCATACTATGTAAACTGAATAGGAATTTTTATAAAACATTTAATGCTTTTGGATTATATTTATCTAGGCACTAAAGATATATTAATGAAGTTTTTACTGGTTTTTTTCCAGTGGGCATCATAATATAAGCAAAAGTATTGTTTGTTTTATTAAACACACAGTCATATTCCTTGATTAACAATATATAAATATCAAAAATATAATACAATGTTGGTCATTTTTGTTTTTGTGTTTCTTCTGCAGAGAGTGATAATGAACTCTCAAGTGGAACCGGTGATGTGTCTAAGGATTGTCCTGAGAAGATCCTTTATTCTTGGGGAGAACTGCTAGGAAGATGGTAAAAAATTTATTTTTCTTATTGAAAATTTTACATTTACCTAGTTGATGTTCATTTGTCTTATTAAAATCTATATATTTATCTTAATGTTAGTATATTAATGTACTTTAAAAACATGAAAGTTGAAATATAATTCATAGATACTCTCTATGTTTGCCTGAGTCTTCCACCCAATATGGTCTTATTTAACTTACTTTTGGAAGATATATTTGTCTTATTTCACTCAGGCAGAACATTGCTCAGAGTAATCAACTGTTTGCTTTATTGCTAAAACATGTAAATATCTATTGTTAAAGGGTTACATTTCCTTTCTCTCCTAAGTCTATTACCATGAAAAGAGGCTATAGTGCTTAGAGTTACTCATTTCACCACTGATTATAAACTGTTAACCAAGCCTGTTTTACTCTTTCTGACTAAAACTGTTACTTTATGTTTTGTAGCTTTTTATCTGGAACTACAAAAAAGGGTACTTTGTTTATATTTATTACACATACTCTGTTTATTAAGTTTTTTAAAGAGGAAATCATGACTATCAGTTGTTAGTAAAATTAAATAATTTTGCCCACAAAAAGATTCTGCCATACCAGTATATAGAAACCACAATTTATTATTGAGTATGTGTATCAAATTACATGCACGCAGGTAGTCCAGGAGAAACTACTAGGTCTGGGAAAAATTTCACACATTTTATACAGTAAAGCAGAAGAAGAAATAATTAAAACTTCATATTTTTTTAAAAAATGTATATTTATTTTTGAGAGAGAGAAAGAACGAGAATGTGCGGTGGAGGGGCAGAGACAGAGAGAGGGACAGAGGATCCAAAGTGGGCTCTGTGCTGATAGCAGAGAGTCCTATGTGGGGCTCAAACTTGAACTATGAGGTCATGACCTGATCTGAAGTCAGATGCTTAATCAACTGAGCCACCCATGTGTCCCTAAAACTTTATACCTTTTGATAAAGATAATCTTTATCAAATCTCCTATACACTTCCTAAGGGATTCCTGATTTAATTTAAGAGATACATATTTATAGCTCTGATGGTCGGAAAGCTTATGACTTCTCAGTATGAAATCTGGAGAGTAGGTTTATCAACTTCCTGAACAAAATGTTGAACCTATTATGTTTTTAAGGAGATATCCTAAGTGTTAGGAGGGCTAGCTGTCTCCCCTTAATCGAACAAAGAAAATTCATCTTACTTATCTTGTACATACAAAATATAAATTGAACACATCTCAGAGGGTTTATTTAACTCCTTAAGTAATGGAGCCAGTTAGATATTACAACCAATCAGGATGAGAATTCAGTTTAGAGATTTATATTCTCTTCCTGATAATTCACTTGCATTGCCATGAGCAGGAATTATTTTCATAGCTATGGACAAAAAACTTATGCATGTCTAGTTTTCCACACATTATCTTCTGTTGAGAGTTGTAAATTTGCCTTATCAAAGACAAATAGAAACACACACCTCTATCATATCAGGTAATTCCCAGAAGCTGCAGCATTCCATACATTAGCCCATTTCAAAACTTCTCAATTTTTCCCTATATTGTATCCAGAAGTTAATAGATTAGCGTAATTAGCATTGTCCATGTTTCTAAATTTATGTTTTTACTGATTTCACTTAGTAGTATTCATGGCAGTTGTTAAAGGTGATAAGGAAGACTTTATTCAGGAGGGGGAGCTATCGTGGCAGGTATAGGGGTTCCTGAAATGAGGTCTTGCAGTAGGGGAGAGACTGGGCTCAACTCCAAATGCTGCAAGGAAAAGCGCAAATTTACAGCCAGGGAGAGGGTGGAGGTTAGCAAATGGAAAATTACTGAGAGAAAACATCAGGGGTAAAGAGATTCGTGGCTAACTTGACTTAACAAATTCTTGCTAAAGGTGGATCAGGATGATCAGACATTACTTGAATATGGTGGAGGGTGAGGAACTCAATTAGAAATCAAAAGTAATCAGGTACTGATGATGGCAGATTCTGGCTAAACTGACTTAGTAGGATTCTTGCTAAAATTGGACAATGCAGAGATGAGCATGGAAGCTTAAAAAGTCAGACCTATTTGAGAAGAGAGTTCAGGTGAGCCTAAACAAGTTTGGTCAAAAAGAGAGTCTTTGGGAGCACCTGACTGGCCCAGTCAGTAGAACATGCTAGTCTTGATCTCAGGGTTGTGAATTTGAGCCTCATGTTGAGCGTAGAGATTACTTAAAAGTAGTAAAAGCTTTGAGAGAGAGAGGGAGAATATCTTTGTCATTAGTTAATAGAATTTCATAGGGGAGTTAGGTGTTGGGAGTGGGGAAGGGGTGCTGATCAGAGCAAGAAGATTGTTAGAGTCCAGTCTGGAAAAGAGAAGCCATGCCAACCTTTTCAAACAGAAGGGTATTAATGCAAGTTGGTTTCTAGTGTGTTAGAATGCTGAAAGAAAGAAGACATTGAAGTAACCCCAGTAGTAGGAAGCAGCTGTATCCTCTAGGGCCAGAGAAATAATATGGAAGAAGTTTTGTGACCAGAATCTAGGGACTCAGTGGAGGTCTCCTGAGGAGCTGGTGCAGGGACCTCTGAGGAAGGCTGTGCAACTGGTTGCTTAGGCTTTTGAGGATACTCAGAGTAGCTAGGGTTTAGAAGAAACCATGAGGGGAGGGGTCATTTGATTAGTTCTTTGCTTCTGAAGAGATACCCAGACCCCTGAGCTGGTTGGGGGAAACACTTTGTGATTGGTGCTAGTATTTCCTAGAGGGCCCGGCAGGTATTAGTAATTCTCGGGAGTTGTGGTATAGCTACTCCTGGCGGTGCAATCTTTCTTTTCTTCTACCGTTCGATTGCGTACCGCTGTTACTTATTGGCAGAACCTACCTTGGACACTGAGTTTTACAAGGTTGTAGGATACAAGGTAAATAATGCAAAAATCCATCTTGTTTGTATATACTAGCATTGAAAATTGGAAAGGAAATTTAAAAACCTACAAAAGCACTAGAAAAAAAAATCAAACATTTAGGTAGAAATTGAATAAACTGTTACTAGATCTATACTTTGAAAAACTAGAGAACAGTAATGAAAGACCTCAATAAATGGAAAAATATACCATGTTCATAGAATTAAAGTCTCAATATTGTTAAGATTTCCATTCTTCCCATACTAATCATTGGGATCAGTGTAATTTCAGTCAAAATCCTAGTGGAATTTTTTGGGTAGCAATTGAAAAGCTGATTCTAAAATTTGTATAGAAAAGCAAAGTAACTAGAAGAGCCAAAGCAATTTTAAAAATGAAGAACTGGGGCGCCTGGGTGGCTCAGTCGGTTAAGCGGCCAACTTCGGCTCAGGTCATGATTTCACGGTCCGTGAGTTCGAGCCCCGTATTGGGCTCTGTGCTGACAGCTCAGAGCCTGGAGCCTGTTTCAGATTCTGTGTCTCCCTCTCTCTGACCCTCCCCCGTTCATGCTCTGTCTCTCTCTGTCTCAAAAATAAATAAACGTTAAAAAAAAAAGTTTAAAAAAAATAAAAATAAAAATAAAAAAAATAAAAATGAAGAACAAACTTGGGAGACTTATACTACCTGATTTCAGGGATTACCTGATTTCAGGGATTACCATCAAGCTACAGTAATCAAGACATTACTGATTAAAGGATAGACACATAGATCAAAGTTGCAGAATAGAGAGTTCGGAAATAGAGCCACACAATCTAAAAAGATATTTCTCCAAAAAGACATACAAATGTCCAGTCAGCACATGAAAAGATGCTTAGCATCATTAGCTATCAGGGAAATGCAAATCAAAACCACAGTGAGATACCATTTTACATCTACTGGGATAATAAAAAAAAGACAATAACTAGTGTTGTTGAGGGTGTGGAGAAATTGAAACCCTAAAAACACTGCTGATAGCAATGTAAAATGATGCAGCCATTTTGGAAAACATTCTTGGCGTTCCTCAAAAGGTTAAATACAGAGGTATGATATGGCCTAACAATCCCACTTGTAGTTATATACACAATAAAAATTAAAGCATATGTCTATGTAAACATTTGTACATAAATGTTTATGGTATCATTGTTCATAATAACTAAAAAGTGAAACCAATCCTCATGTCTACCAAGTGATGAATGGATAAATAAATGTGGTATATACATACAGTGGGATATATTCAGCAATAAAAATAAAGTACTGGTACATCTGCAACATACATGACCCTTAAAAACATTATGTTGTGTGAGGAAAACAAATCAGAAAAAAGCAATTGTATGATTTTATTTATATGAAGTATCCAGAATAGGCAAATTCGTAGAGATAGCAAATAGATTAGTGGTTGTCTAGAGCTGGAGTGGGGATTTAGGGAAGTAGGGAGTGATTGCTAAGAAGTACGGGGTTTCTTTTTAGGGTAATGAAAATGTTCTAAAATTAATTTTGGTAATGGCCACACAACTGTGAATATATTAAAACCACTGAATTAAGTACTTCAAATTATATCTCGATCTAGCTGTATACACAAAAGAAATATGCACAAATATGGTCTACTGATTTTAAACAGAGGTGTAGTTGAGATTTGATGGAGAAAGGATAGTCTTTTCAGCAAATAATGCTTAGTAATTGGATATCTATTTGCAAAAAGTAAAAACAGTAAAAAAGAACCTTGAAGCACACCTTGCCCCGTATAGAAAATTAAATCAAAATGGGTCATAGGTCTAAATGTAAGCTAAAATTATAAAAGCTATAGAAGAAAACATAGGAAATCTTTGTGACCTTTGGTTAGGCAGAGATTTCTTACATATGACACCAAGGAATGATCTATGAAAGAAAAAAATAATAAATTTGACTTCATCAAAACTAGAAACTTTTGTTTTTCAAAAGACATTGAAAAGAATGCAAAGTTACACACTGGGAGAAAATATGTGCAAAACTCGTATCAATAAAAGACTTCTATCCAGAATAAAAAAAAAAAATTCTCAAAACTTAATACTAAAAAAAGCCCATTTAACAATAAGCAAAAGATCTGAACAGACAATT